GCTATTTTGCAAAACAACATGCAACAACCATTTATTTAATTCTACGTTCGGTATGCAATCTTAGTTGACCCAGTTTAAAAATAACAAAAACAATAACGTTGCTGTTTACGGGAAGTGACAAAGCCAATGCAAGAATCCGTAGCCTTCGGAAATCATTCTCAATAACAATATTTTGTAAACATTCTCTTACAAGCGTCGGTCCATGATGCTGCCGAAATCTTCAATAGATTGAAATCGTTGTTCTTTACATTGTGTAGACTACACCTGCTACAGAAACTATGACAACTAACATAGAGTATCTCATTAAAAATGGATACAGGAAAGAATGACCATCTTTGAACAATGGACCAGAGGCTCTTCTTCTCAGAGGGTTCGTAAAAAGTAGCCGAACAAAGTGTGTTTTGCTTCTCTCTTCCTCTAGATTACTGTAACGGATATCAATGCACTACATGAACTTCTAGCCTTCACAAAAGCTGTCAGGTATCAATTGAATGAACGTAGAATCGGCCGCGTGTGTATCGTAGCATTGATTCGATTTCTTTCATCTTAAACGATTGTATATTGTCTACTTGCAACTGCAAGAAAGATGCAGTAGTTAACTTGAGATACTGCTAAAGTCAATGACACTTTAGCTATCATCCCATGTACATAGTACAAGAACATCTGGGCTAAGGTCGACGGCCTCCAGTAAGGTCGCTTCAACAATCACAGCCTCAGGAATGCCACAGACCGCGAGATGCGAACTATCGCAGCTGTCTGATAACTCAAGGTCGCCGCAAGGTCGTGATAACTTATCAGCTGTTATCAGTGGGCGTACAATATGTAACGTGTGAAGGCGTGTAGCGGAAAACGTGGCTTATTGGTGGAGGAAATAAAAACATAAGAAGGGTGTGTTTGAAATCAAATATAGGCTAACTGTGCAAGTTCTAAATTGTCTGGGTAGCCGAGTAGTTATAGCCTCAAATCTGAAAATCGCAGGATCATTCCTTCACATAGATACAATTTGTCTATAGCCTATCAATTAATGATGATATCTGAAAAAGATTGACTTAAATAATTATAGAAGCAAGACCAGAGTTTGGACTACCTTATTTCTTGGTGAAAGGACAACTCTCATGGAAAGTTATGCAACTAATTAACTTGATTGACAGAAATACAGTGTATCCAGGATGGAAGAGAAGACTCGTCGATATATCCAGAAACCCCTTCACAGCTCGTGCAGTAGTCTTTTGGTAATCTCAAAGCTAGTTCGAAAGATTAAACTTTTCGAAAATTTTGTAATCGAAATCGGAGATAAAATGTAATCTGTGACAAGAATATTCATCGGTAAATCCGGAAAGTTCTTGTTCAAACCTTGTAATCTTCTGGTAATCTCTATATTAACTCAAGAGATTAAACAGTTACAAAAGTTAAGTAATCGAAATCGGAACATGTGTTGAATATTAATGTCGCCGATTTGTATTTACATCAAGACACTCACAAAATGTTCTTGGGTTAACCAAAACATATTTCGGACCTATTTGAAAGTTTTATATAACATATTACCTTTTTTTACTTCCAGCAAATTCCAGTTACCAAAAAATCAAGTGCAAACGAAAATAATAAAAACACAAATACTTAAATCTTAGTTTACGGTTTACGCCTGCTGGTTGTTCTCGCGCTAAAATTAGTTGAGACAAAACTCCCTCAAAAGTCAACAACACCAAAGGATTGCTCAAAGCTGACCCAAATAAAGTAATCTGACGTATTTACGGCTCTGTTCTGGGAACCTTCATACGACCTTGCCTTTGGGCTATCTTCTCCAAACAAGTGGGGGGGGGGGGGTTGTGTTTTGTCGGGAGTCCCTACACCCCCACCCCTTCATTCTCTCACGACCCTCTCATTGTTGGCAGCTGGGTCTGAGGAATGTCAGAAATGTCACCCGAGGCACACAGCGGCGCCGTAGCACTAGGAGACTATAGGGCTTCATGACATTCGACCATGTTGAAGCAGAGGTTGGAGGGATTGTAAACGGAACAAGTGTTTAAATTCTCACTGTAGTAACCTGACGTGTAATGGCATGTATTTTTGAAGGGTATAATGGCGTTTTATTTCACAAATTGAAAATGTTTTAGGGTGAAGAGGACACTTCTGGTAAAATCGTTGGGTGTTATAAAATCATGTTTTACGTAAATGTGATACACAGGGTGTTTCCAAATTGGACATATTTTGTGGACTTGTTCCTTGGGCTAAGACAAGTATGGGTCTAAAATGCCTAGATTTCTGTTTGTCAGTCTGTTTGTGGGTTTTAAGAATTATTTTATATCTTGGGCCATTTTCAAGATAGAAATTGCAATTGGTATAAATGTGTATTTTAGTAGGTAAAAAGAGCTTACAAAGTTTCGTTCCAATATCTCAAGCCGTTTCAATATGGCGGTCTTTTAAAATCTTTAATGCCAAATTTAATGAAAACAGTAAAAATTAAGAAAATTTTTTTCAGATCAAAAAGATAGAGAATTTCCAAATCAAATGAGACCTTCTTTGTTAAAATCGGATGACAAACAACCGAGTTGTCAGTTTTTTCTTCAGTTTTTTGTAAACAATAAGAAACTCTAATTCAGTCACGTCAAAATCAACAGTCAATAGAGAAATGGAAAATAATTGACTCATTTCGTTATCATATATTTATATACATCTCGACAAACAGTACAGCACAAGATTACAATGCTGGTTCAACATTTTTAGCTTTAAACTTGGGTCAACAATTCCATTCTAATTCACAGAACTCCCAAATTTCCTGTACCGGAACAAACACCGATAGGTAATCTGTAGGCGCCTCTCAGCGTGAACAGAACTATACCGAGGCATTGACCTTGGAACAACAGGGATATGGTGTGATCGGTAACAACCGCATCGAGTGCTGGACACCCATGGTCCATGTTGTATACGGTAACTACTCAACACAACTACCGAAACAAATACGCGATGGTTTGATGCAGATATATCGATTACAGCTATCGCATTAACACTCGAACAGGGTACCGTACGTGATGATCATGATAAGTAAAATCGCTTCGAGCTTCGAGATCTGGACACCAATGTTCCATATTACTCTGAGATGTTATATACGGTAACTACACAACACAACTACCACGCGATAGTTTAATGCAGAAATATCGATTACAGCTATCGCATTAACATTCGAACAGGGTACGGTACGTGATCAGTAACAATCGCATTGATATCTTGCACCCAGAAGTACTAGGCTGCTATCATTGAATAAATAGTGAGACAAATGGAAAATAAGATGCAGCTATCAATAAAGACATAAATAGACTACGTGTCACTATTTATTCTGTGTTACACTACACAATAGTTTAATGTATAAATTATGATAAGTAGGCATCGCTTGAGCTTTGAACTTCCAAGTGGTCTCCAACGATGTAAAAATATCGTTGGTGGTCTCTTCCGGTGAGCATTGTAGAGCCATCTGGGCAATATCAGGCTGAATATCGAGTATAAGTGGGTATGAACTGTCTGTGACGGAGGTTCAATAGTAGGCCTAACAATATCTTCTGGTGCTGTTTAGCGTCAGGGGAGTTCTATAGGGGTTAAAATCGGTTCCAAATTACATAGAGTAGGTACAATGGACCTACAGGTGAAAATGGTAGATTGTGCTATAAGCGATGCCCCATCCCAATATATGACAGTATTTGTAAAGAATTAAAACTCCGACTTTTCAATGTTTTATTCTTAGTTAGCACGTTTCACCGGCGAATCAGTTTATCTAATTGTAAATTTCAATTGTCTCTTGACTAAGAACATGGCTTATTTGCCGACAGGAAATTGTAAAACTACTGTATTTAGAATAATGTTAAAATTTAATATCAAACTGAGTAAACAATGTGTCAGTTATTTTTTTTACGATAAACAAATTGTTCGACCAGCTATGTATAAGGGGTTTGCTGTTTATAGTGCATTTTATCATTTCATGATTTCACAATCTTACGACTGCCTTATAATTACGTAGAAAGACACATTTTAGTATTTAAATGCTTTGACTTTAAAACTGATAAGAAAAAGCAAATTAACTATGATCCAAAATACGATATAATCATAAACAATAAGGCAAAGTATTGGCCTAAATATTTAAATTTAGTTTGATCATTGGACATCGCACAAAGGTTTATATTTTCTTTCACACCGACCATTAAAGTCTCTTTGAAAACTTAACCTTGAAACCTACGATCCCATTGTAATAGGTTATAATAGCTATATATTAATCCAGAGATTCAATAGCGTTGTTACACTTTTATCATCAAACTTTATGTAACCAATAAACAGTGTCAGTACCTAAACATTTATTTAGAATGCAAACGAACATGCTAAATAATATTTAATGTCTATTTTAGGATGATGTAGAGGTATTATAGATTAATTTTAATATGTGATAAATGTGAGTAAAACTATTGTTCTGAACTAAAAAACACACAGACTGAAAAGCTCTTATCAATACGCATACGCAAAACCATAACCAGTTGAGGTTCTAATCTCCCTTTTTAAATAACCAGAACTAAAAACATAGAATAGGGCTTAAATTCCTCGATCAAATATGAGGAAACCTGTATAGTTTTATAAGTTAAGTTTTACTTAAAATTTGTAAATACATATTGTATGTTGTCTTCAAAATGTTGATTACACTCTTGGGCGTAAAACCCCCAGACTCAATTAAAACCTAAAAAAAAATATTTCCTATATGATTTTGAACTAGGTAGCCTACATAGCTTATAATGTACTACAAATTAATTACTAGTATCAATTACGATATACGCGAAATAATTACTAAATCGGCGTAGTGCCAAAACCGGCTCGATTTTTTATGGTAAAAACCCAACTTTTAAGGAAAGTTGTAAGCCTGAAAATAAATTCAATAGTTTTTCGGCTTCATAAATTATATTCCAAATCAGAGTAAAATATATTGGTAATTTAAAAGGATAATTTATTTAAATGTGTAAAATTACCTTGGTCGGCGCCTCGAAATATTCCTACACCCGACTCTGACGCGCACAACCACTGACTGACTGGACTGCACTCAAACAAGTTTAAACTCCGGGGAACCGAGGTGCGAGTGCGAGGCCGAGGGAGGGGAGTGGACCATTGAATACGCGGTGCCGGCAACTGCTGCCAACCCCACACCGTAGAATATGGTACCAGAGAAATTATGGTATGGTACCTGAAAAATTATGGTATGGTACAAGAAAAATTTTGTTATGACGTGAAAGAAATTACGGCATGGTCACGGGATATTATCATACAACTACCTCATCTGCTACAAAAAAGATTTTATTGTTATATTTTATAGATGATAAAACTTGTTTAGGATGATAAAACTTCGCTTAGTATGCAGGTTTGCTGTGAGAGTGTTTTGTATATTTTTTCCAATTTGCTAAGAGTTCTAAATTATTTATAGATCACCTTGTTATTAATTGTCCTTTGGTAAAATGCTAAAGAAGATTTAACTTGAAACTTTACACTACCTTAGTAACAAGGGAAAACAGAAGGAGGAATATAATACTATAGAATTACAAATAATTACCTAACATCACATTTGAAATTAAATTCAAACAAGTCACAAGCATTCTGAATCGTGAGCAATAAAATAAATTTAAAAGTAACTGAGAATTAGATACATGAAGATCAATTTTATCATTTTCTTAGTTTTGCATGAATAAATAATAATTAATTTATAAAATTTGCAAAATGTTGCTGATTTTTCACGGTTTTCTCATTGAACAAGCATTTTTCAAAGGTGTGACTAGCTAACATGCTTGTTCAATAAAAAAACCGTAATAAATCCGAGAAATTTTACAAACTTTAGAAGTAGGGTGATTTTGGAAGGTGAAGGAGTGGGATTTTTGTAAAACGCTGAAGTGTGTTTTGTAGAAAATTTAATTTCTGACCATTAAAATTCTTTCAAATATTTGCTAACTCTTACCGTTTTTGAGCTACAGCCGTTAAAACAACAGGTTTCTCTTAAAAAAAGGGGGCGAAAAATTCAAATTTTGAACTTCCATAACTTTTTATAGGATTGACGTAGAGATCTCTAGTTTGCGCCATTCTTTTTCTGTTTTCATGCCCTCACATTTGATTCGTCAAAAGGGGTGCCTCACAATTTAAAAAGTTTAAGTTAAGGGTAAGGGGAGAAAGTGGGTGAATGGGAACTTTATATTACATTCACAACAATGTGGACCCTACGTCAATAGACGATTCCCGTAAACTGCATATTTATATCTATTGCAGTTTTTACATAAATAAAGAAGCAAGTTAAAAAAAAAACGCCCTGTATATTTAGGCTAAAATGAAAATTATAATGAATTAAACTATAACACAAAGTTACAAGTTTAAGAAACTTCAAATAGTTTAGTAAAGTAGTCTAGTAGTTAAATTACCAGCTCACAGTGCCTCTGATGAAAGAAAACAATGAAAGCACCAGGGTAAGTCTGTTTGTAATTATTTATAGATTTTGATAAAAATGTTGTATGTTGTAGCCCTTTAAATTCTGAACAAAATGGTATAACTACCATTACCGTAAAAATTACGGTTCAAAAGTTTTTTAACTATGCAATTTTCCTGTAAAAACCCCTTAAAAAAAGAAAAATAGGAATTTAGAAAAAAAACCTGTTTTGATTTAACTTAGTATGTTATGGTCTTTAACATTTAAACGTTTTTTTCATTTTGATTTTTAATGGGGATTTTTCCATAAAACAACAGAAAAATTAGATTTTCTCGAAAATGGCCTGAGCGATCTTCTTAAAAATTCAGTATATTATAGCCCTTTAAATCCTTAACAAATTAGTACAAATCCCATTACCGTAAAATTTACAGCTCAAAAGTTATTGTAACTTATGTTGTTTTTCCATAAACTAACAAAAAAATCAGATTTTTGGAGAAAAGCTGGCTTTGATCAAAATTAATATGTTATGGTTCTTATAATTAAAAAATAGTACAACATTCCATTGCTGTAACAATTACGGTTCAAAAGTTATAACAACTTTTGTGATTTTTAACTATAAAATATCATGTTTAATGTCACTGCTTACCCATAAAGGTTATTGACAAGCTTATGGGAGAAAGTATGTGTCAGAATGCTGATACCGTTTATTTTCTATTATCATTCAATGGTGTGAATACTCATTTAAGTAAGCATCTCTTACATTTGTGCATTTACCATTGTTGTGAATTTCTTCACTAGGAGCAAAAGTGGCTCTTTTTGGTACGCAATCGTGATGATGAAGTATGATTCTGTCCCAAAAAGAAACATGCATTTTGCTCCTGTGATGAACAACTATTTTCATCAAATCGTTTCAATTAGACCACATAATTTGAGGTTATAGAAAGTCGTCATCAATGTTTACATTTCTGTTGTTTAGAAACATAACTTAAATATTGTGTGGTTATTAGCGTTTACATAATGAACTGATACATTTTTGAGATTGGCGAACTGAAAAATTTACCATATTTTTTTTCTGTTCCCTATTTGAAGTAACTTGAAAATGATGATTTTGCTGACAATTTAGAGAACTAAAAACAGCTGCTTTCCCGGCTGTATGATGAAAAAAATTTATTTACATATTAAATCTAGAAATAAAAATAAAACCAACTTATATACTACACCCAAACTGTGCATTGAACTTGGACCACCTAGTTTATAAGTATCTTCCCCGTTACGTTGTATAGAGTCGTCTAATGAGGTAATAATAAAGTAATATGAGTAATAGAAAGACTATTAACGGTTAATGTGCAGCTTAAAGATACTGCACCAACAACTCTTGCATCTATAAACCAGAAAGGTAATTTAAAAATTGAGCAGATGATGGAGGAATAAAGAAAGAGTAGATCATGGGTTGAAAAGTAAAAGAAAAAAAACGTAAAAAGAAAAAGATCATTCAAGGGTTCATTTTGGTTTCCAATGTTTATCATAATTTGAAGGGAAATAAATAAAATACACTTTTTAACAACCGTTAGAGTTTTATTTCACATTGAGCAAGACTTATACAAATCGAACAGGAACATGAACAAAGAAATACATTGAATAGATATGTTAATTAAAATTTCCTATCTAAAACAAAACATCTAGCTACACCAATACAAATAACCCAAAGAAAGTAAAAAAAAACACAACAGTAAAAAATGTACCACACAAAGTATCAAAACTAAATATGTAAAATATTTTAGTGTAATTTAATTTCAACTATAGCACCAATGCTGCAACTACAAACTATTTAGTAGCCTATCTATAATCTTTACTTGTGCCAGACAACTAGCTGATTTTCAGTCTTATTGATAATTAGTTTTTCATGACATTCTCTATTTAAAAAAATGTTTCCATTACATTGAACCATCAACGGAACATAATAGCAAAGCAATGTAATGATAAAGCAAAAAAGTACATCATATTTTTAGTTTCCTGTAAAAAGAAAAAACCTAGCTTTTTCTAAGTTTGAACTTTGATAGTACTACATTCATTTGGCAAAGGCAAACAAATTTACAGAAGTATTTGTGTATACAAACAGCCAAAAGGTAACATAATGGCATTATTATTTAAATATTCTACCAAGACAAGAATGTAGGCTAAACCGGAATGAAGTAAAACATAAACCCTAATATATTTATAATTGGAAGTAGTGTTAATATTATGGAGCGATTTGTTTTTGTTCATATAGAGCAAGGCACAAAGCGAAACATTAAGAAAACACTTACAGATACGAGACAACATCACAGAACATTACGGAAACAACAAACAAAACTCAATATAGTTATTTTAATATTTTATAAACTTAATCTAATTTGCAATTTCATATCAACAGTAACTAGGATTTCATTTTGATCTATGATGATACAAATAAATTTGTACAATGAAACCTCATTAGTATTATTGTGGATCCAAGACAAATGGAGTAATGAATGTCTTACATTTTAAAATGTTCAACATTCAAACAAGCCTCAATGTTCTTTTTACAGTTAAATGAAATAAAATTGTATTTACGGAAGAATATTGGCGTTTCGGAAACGTTTGGGTACCACTTGTAATTAATTGTGAAACGCCTTTTGGAGAAAAAACTTCAATATTTATCTTTTGACCCTGAAATATAAAAAATACACAGAACTGTAAATAATAAAAAAAAATTATCCATGTGAACGTTTAACGGCTTTTGTTGTCAAATGGTTGTAAGGATTAAGCAAGTATATAATATGCAAGTATGAATTGTAAGTTTGTATAAGGAGTTGATTTCAATGAGGATTTACTGTATATGGCAATAGTTAGTCGATTCCAATCAAAAAATAATAATATAAAGATAAAATGTATAAAAGTTTATTTTCTACCAAAGTGAGATGTAAGTATATTTCTATCTTTAACTATTGATACAACTAGACATTCCATTTCTATGTTAAAGTTGTTGCCAGTTTTGAAATCAAAATTGTCGTAATTGATGTGAGCCACCGACAGATAGTGCTGATATAAATTAGTAATTTCTGGCAAATACACAAACCTAATTACTAATTAATTAAAACTTATTGAATGACTTATTGTGATCTATAGCAACTGTTAACCAATCAACTTGGCCAGCAACAAAAAATGAGGTAGGAAATGGAATCTTAGACACTAGCACATTCTGTGACTAGCTCACACAAAAAACTATGTTCTTTTTCAATAAAAATGGAGCCATCTGGCCAAAAAAAAGATGGATGTCTACTTCAGTAAGTTATCCAATAGTCAATGCTCCCATTTAAAACACATTGATTATTGGCAAAACTGCTGTTATTGAACAAGAGATAAGCTTAAGACATTTTTGATCACACTTGGACTAAATCACTAAACATTAAGCACTGGAAAACTCTAAATATTTTCCAATAAAGGCACAAAAACAGCAAAGCACCTGAGTAAAAACAGTGGCGGATCCAGGGGGGGGCGAAGAGGGCGGCCGCCCCCCCCCCTCGGGCATGCATATTCATATATTTTTCAATTTTTACTGCATGTAAAACAGTAGTGCATATAAATTGCGTAAAACATAATTTGTCACACTAACTTTGGACAAAGAAATGGTATAAAACTGCCATTTTGGAGACTTAGGCCGGCCACACACAGAACCAGGCGGTTCGGGGCGCGACAGGGCACGACGAAACGCCTGACTTAAGCCCTGTCTTGTTGCTGTCACACACAGAATGAGGCAGGGCACGTCAAGTAAAAATTTTAGCCCACATAAACCTGAAAATTAATATAGGATTTTTTATTTCTGAGCATTGAGCCGATTTAGCCAACTTTTAAATTTTACTTTATACTTGGGAGCAGAATAGAAAACAAAATTTAAAGTCATACCTCCAGAGGAGTGGTTTTTGAAACCCTTAAAATATGAACGCTGGCCTTCTCTTTCCTCAGTTATCAATACCAAGATAAATTATTAGTTATTCAACCACTGTAGTAATATCATCACTGCATAGTCTTATCAAAGGGTGTAATCTTTGGTCGTATAAATTGTTACAGTCTTCTATGTTAATTGTATCAGTTGTAAAATAATCCTTATCAAAATTAGCCCGTAAGGGAACAAATCACATGACCGCGCATGCGCAGAAAGTTCTGCCCGGCAGCGACTTGCCTCGGGGCATAATTTTGGAGACCTTCGCATTTTGCCCTGAGGGCGCCCGGGGGCGTCTTTTCGACGTGCCCTGCCTCGCCCGGTCCTGTGTGTGGAGCTCCATAAGCGCCCGTGCAATTACCGTTGCACAAGACACCCCGGGGCAAAATGCCCTGTCGCCCCGCCTTGCCTGGTTCTGTGTGTGGCCGGCCTTAGTTTACACAAATTATTCGGGGGGTACCCCCGAACCACCCAGACCCCCTGGTTTGCCCACCCTTGTGTCTGTTCTAGATCGGCCACTGCATAAAAATCTCTGATAATATAGGGTTATTAATACCCTCACTGCAGCAAACCTGCAGACTAAGTAAATTTCCATTTGACTGGATTGATATACAATTAAATCTATTTAAATAACATTAGGTTAAACGAGTACCTAGATTTGCTGCTACAGGGAGGCTAATAAAGTGTGTTGTTTAGTAACATACTAATAGCTTAGTAGGTATATTATAAAATAAATAAATTTTCCAAGTTTGATCTACATAAATCCATAAACAAGCAAACTACATCATTTTACAATATTCGCCATAAGAATAACATGGGACTTTTTAATTTAAAATTTTTTGAATTTTCTCCGCAACCAATAACTGCAGAAAAACACTTCAATATACTAAAGTATTTGTCTTTTTAATATGTTTTTTGTGAAAAGGGAAATTCGCTAAAAAAGAATGGTGCAAAACTAAATAGTTGGTACGTCTGTTTCTGTGATTTCAAACAGCTAATTGTTACACCAATGGAAAGTGTGAGTTTAAAAGTTTGTTTTTACAAGTTCATGTTTTATCTCATTTGCTTGGTTGAAAACCACAAAGCCTGCCAACAAATTGCTACTACAAAAAAAGAAAAGCATTTTATGTTTTATAATTTGCTCGTACTAATACTATTGTTAGATTTCAGTGGAACTTTTGGACCAAATTTAGGAAGGAGGCTCCTCATCGGAACTGCATAGCTGGATGAGGCAGTTCAAGACAACTGGATGTTGTATTAGAGAAGGCTATGGATGTATACATATTTTGTACGGTATTCAAAAGCCAATGGTAAGATAGCGCATTATAGAATAGTAACTTGAGCTTGTATCGTTTAGACTACAAATCACCCGTGAGCCACACATCAACCCAGCTGTCTCGCTCCACGATTTGTTTATCAGCTGTTTTACCAGGCAATTGGACCAGACAATTGGCAGTACTGACACTGAGGAGGTTGCTGCTCAACATGTGGCCACCTGCAAAAACCAAGAGACAGTTATTAAAAAAAAAAACATATCAATAAAATACAAAGGGAGACAACCATTGTTGAGTAGGCCTAGCATAAAACAATATTTCAGTAGCCATGCTAGTTTTCTGAAGGCAGTAAAATCTCTGTTCGCAGGGTGAATGTGGGTTGGAGACCACTGCAGTATACAATACAGGCTTACTCAATTTTCTAAAACCCATCATGACAAATGTATGTAAATACTATTCCTTTAAACTTAAGCTAATAAAGACAAAACCTAATAAAATATGTTAAAGCATTAAGGTATAATAAACCTGGGCAATCAATTGAAAAATGTTAAGATAACTTACAATTTGACACTGACATTTTTATTTCCTCGATCATAATTAATGATTTTGTGAATGATATAATATAATGTCCGCAGATTAGCTCACCTAACACTTCAACCTGTGCCGGAGTTTCTGAATATCCAGCTCTGTAAACTCCCCTCTTGAACTCCACACGAGAATCTAGCCTCACTTCACTCTGAATCTGGAAACAAATATGAATATGACAAAAATAAAGCGGGTTTTGGAAGAAAACTATTGGGTCACAAAATATGTACTGAAAATTTACGTAAATATTCTGTTCAATTTTGAGGCTTTTTCTTGAATGCTGTAAATGTGCTTTATTGATGTTCACCATAATGTTTTTATAATATTATGATTTTTTTCTTAATTTTGTATTATACATTGCATTTTATACATTGCAAATTTAATTTATTTCTTGTTTTGGGTATTGAAAAAATTAAGTCAAGATAGAAACTTGATATTCTCCATTCTCCGTATAAGTTATCACTAAGCTATCAGCTATAAACTAGCTGTGTTAATTGTTAGATTAATAAATAACATTCTAAATCATCAGACTTCTTTCCAGTCAAATATTATATTTGATACTAATATTTGAATACCAATATTTCATGAACAACTAAATTAAAATATATTTGATAAATGTATTGACAAATTACTAATCAAAGAAGTATAAAATAAGAAGAATAAAACAAACTACAATACAGGTGACACCAGCGAAAAGAAGAAAAATCATGATTCAGTCAGTTTTATTTAGTCAGTGGTAGTGTGATAAGACAGTGGCCAGCCTGTACAGTTTTAATCAGTTTTGTATTTTTTTCAATTTTAATTATTTTTTCAACATGACAAGTTTCAATCAATTATTGTGATTGTGACAGTTTAAAAATTTTATTGACATACCACAATACGGTAACATTGATGATGTGGTTGCATACAAAATGACCTGATGAAGTTCTAAGGAATGAAACTAGTCGTCATATGGGCAACTGTGTTAGATAAGGTAATCATTTTGTTTTATCCATAATACATCCTAACCAAAGGTCACAATGAATAATAAGAAATAATTAAGGAAAAATTAAATACCATATTATACTCTAGGAGTTTTTTTTAAACAGGTAGACTTCAACAAGAACAGCTGAAAAATAGAGTTTAGGGGCTAACAGATCCACAATTATTAAAGGTCAAAACATAATACTGATATTTTTTCCCACTTGGAAATCCTAGATTGGAAAAAAATAGTTCTACATTACAAGAAAATAGTCCTATATTATAATAGTCATACTATAGTCCTTGCCACCCTAACTTGAGGCAGCCCAAGGCCGCACGCCGTATATCTAGTGCGGCTTTGGGCTGCCTCAAGTTAGGGTGGCGAGGACTATAGGACAAAATATCAGTTTTTTTGTGACTTAATAAAGAGCATCTATTTTTTTTCTGTAAGCTAGATGAACTCAATCACCACCAAAAAGGTTCAGCCACTTGGATTAATAAACTTAAAAAAGTACCATATAATCTGCAAACTGTGAAGGCAAAATAATGTTAGGTAACCTTTGTCTTTTCGTCTTTATTCATTATGGAAATGAATAAAATTAAAAACTAAAATTGAGCTTGGAGAATAATACAATTTCTGGTAACAGAAACACAAAGAGCAGTCTATTTTAATTGATCACTTTGAAAGGTATTGCAGAACTAGCCTAAAGCTGGAATACCTTTGCCTTGACAATCTGTCCGTCTGGCTGTTTGCGGCCGGCTAGATGTCGCAGGCTTGGCAGTACGTACAGATGACTGGTCACAGTAGCAGACACTGGGTTGCCAGGGAGACAGAAGAACACCACAGTGCGGCCTCCTGGAGCTGCACACGTCGCGAATGTTGTGGGCTTCCTAAACAGGGAATAAAGTTGCCATGTTGAATCTGAAGACCCGGCCTAAACCATGTTCTTTAAGTTCTAGAAATAGTTATATTTGCAATTCTCAATAGGTCAACAAATTAAATTCGCCTTAGGACTAAAATAGGCACATTTTTGGATTAAGTAATCAGGTGACTTTCATAGAGTTGTCCCCTGAATCATTAACCTTGATTCATAGGTCTGGCTAAGGACAGCTGATCTCAGTCAGTATCATAGTATCAATCAACACATCAACACACGTTCTTCACTCATCTTTGCTTAAAATCTTTGCCTTGTTGTGTTGGCTTCACAGAAATCTAATCTAATCAAACAGAGTTATATGTATTTTTCACCACAATACACAGCTGGTTGCTCTTTTTTTACCGGAGACTCGTTGCTTACAGAAAAAGACCAGTATCGTCAATAAGGTAAATTTACCGGTAAGTTTGTTTTGGTTTTGCAATATCTTAAGCGACAGTAGAACCTCGATAGTTCCACACTCCCTATAGTTCTTTAAGTCTAGGCGTAATTTCCCGCCAGCCGCATCGTAAAAACTAATAAATGAGTCATGCATGTTGTGTTTTCAATGTTTGTAAATAATTGTAAGCTATGACAACCTTTAGTAGAAGTGAAAAAGTCCTTGTAAAGCCTGTTGATGGCATTGTGAGCTGAAATTAGCTGCCACAGCAACCAATTTGATTATTCACAATAAAGGTATTTTAAACCACTTATAGTGCATCTTGGTAATCTGGAGGCTACCCATATTGAAAAATAAAACAATTTATCCTACAGCTCTATCGAGGGTTTGTTATGTCTGCATATATCAATAATAGTCAGAGATGGTATGTTACCCAGGTTTGAGGTTGACTCTGCCGAAGTGTATGGTGGCCCCGAGGTCCTCCTTGAGTACATGTTTCAGCAGGTCTCGGTCCCCCATGGATACACTGCCTGTGGTCACTATCACATCAGACAACGCAATGCCTTCCTGTAGCTTGGCCAGGGTATCATCAGGCCTACAGAGATGCATCACGATTATAAATTATAAACATAATTTGTATAAAGTGCAGGATTTCTATTTCAATAGTAAACTGACTACAGATATTCAGTCAGAATTGGAATAGGAAGAGGGGACATGTTTTTTTTTACTATTTTTAATCTTCTTCTTTCAAAGGTTCTTTTATGAAACCTTTAAAAATAACTATTTTTTGGTAATTCAAATATTTTAGTAGTAATAACCAAACAGGTAGAATCAGCATTTTCCCTTGAAAAATTAAGATTTTTGTGTTCATTACATAAAGGAAAAAAATTGAACTGGCATAATTGAATCCCAGGAATTTAATGGGTTTTGAAAATACTTTCATAGTAGAAGTTTGTAAGCCCGATATTCTGAAAGTTTAGGTTGCCAAAGGGGCAATAAACCATTATTTGATTATATGAGAGCTTGACAAAATATGGTCTTAATATATAAGAATTTTTACAAGGAGCAGTCACTTGTTTGAGGGGGAGTTAATGAGACTAGACTTGGCTTTTGAAAAATGTACAGGGTATTTGCTTTATTTAATTCACAATGGCGCTGCCGTCGATTGAAGGGACGGCCTTGTGGTCTCTGTTTGTAAGTAACAGTGAGAGGTTTTTTATTCATCTGATGTTTAGTTACCATTTGTGGACATGTGAGGAAAGCTGGTGTATTGATTGCTTGTATTTTATAATCCCTCACTCTGATTATTATTGTCAAGCTTACTTCTCTGGTGAACTTTAATGGAAATCAATTATGAATTGGGTGAGTACGTTCTGAAATATTTCGACAAATAAGACCTAAAGAAATTGTTAAAAAACCACAAAGCCTCGACTGAGTTAGAGCTGCAGAACTGCAATCAGCAAAAAGCGTTCTTTATATTAAATAATTCCAATAAACCTATACTAATCGGAAGTATACAACATCTTACCTCTAGACCAAGCCACTTTATCTTCAACCAACAGCAAATGCTACAGTATGAAAATAAAAAATTCAATTTACCATGCTCCACTTATGTAAACACTTACTCATCCTTGGCAATGCCCAGGTCTACTGTGGGGAAGCCATGTTGTCTGAACATAGTCAGTAGCATGACCTTGTTGCTGTCCCAGATCTGACCAGGAGTGAGACTGTGGCCAGGGAGTTGTAGCTCATTGCCTGTAGACAACACTCCTACTCGTGGCAACCTGCAAGTGCAAATGCAATAAACCGTCACTAAATTGAACTGATATTTAGGGGGATAGTGAATACAATTGGATTCTGTTGACAGTGCTGGCAATGATAAGAAAATAAGTCAAAGTCCTAACAATTCCAAGAGTTAACCCCCGGGGATAAGACATTGACGAGACCAACCCTCAACATATTGTAAGGTTTTGCAGGGATTACCCACTAGGGCACAAACGATGCACCATTGTGTACAAAAGGACTAAAAATTATCAATTGATTATGATCTAAAATGAATAGTTTGCCTCTATCTCAGGTGACGACAATGTCCCCTAATCACGAGAGATAATCTTGCTTTCTCCACGATTTTGGGCACGACATCAATGATTGCAGGGAAGTTCAACCGAAGGGTGACGCCATTGTATTTCTAGCAAAATTACAAGTAAATAGAGTTATCTATTGATAAAGGTGCGGGGCCCTCTTGGGTTGGTTAGGCCTATGGCCGCAAATTGCCTAAATCTGAGACTGAAGTTATCCTTCAATTATGTGCACATTTTCAATGGACTCTACTGACCAATTCATGTATACTTCAGTTTTATTTAATACTAAAACTAATCATAAGGTATTATTACAGCTTCTGTTTGTCTATATGTACATCTGTTTTTTCCAGGTAGACCCAACAACTATAGAACCGACTTTCCTAAAATTTTGCACAAAGGCAGAACCTGGCCAAACACAGGTGTTTTGCTTATCTTTCTTATTAAGCATGTGGACATAGTTTCGAGTTGGAGCTTAAAATAAAAAATTATTGGCAACAAAAAAATCACATCTCTTATGTTCAATGCCTCAAACAAACACCTGGCTAGTAGTTGAACAGACAACAGAAACTGTGACTTAACAGGAGTCTAATATAGCCTAACAAAAAGGTTACATTCAACCTAATCAAGCCTATCAAATAGCCTTTCTAGTTAAATTCTTTTCTTGAGATACGTGGGTTCTAGTTTATAGATTTGACTTTGACACATCACTACTTCACTCTTTCTAGTAACATAAGCTTACCTGACACAAGGCACTTTGAAGACTCCCACAGAAGCCAACAGTCCCACCTGGGAGCTGGTCAAGGGGGTTTGTGTGACTCTCAGCACAGTCTCGCCTTGCTTCACATCAGAGCCTACTTCTCTGAGAACAGAGCAACAATCCATCAGTATCCTCTTATAACATTTAAATCTAGTGAAACATTTCCTTAGTATTCTCTATTGGTTCTGATGATGATTGGAGTGTCCAATCAAAATCCATCATCACTTACCGTCTTTTAAATGTATTTACCGTCTTGTGTGTCAACAAAGCAACTAAGTTTATTTACTTATTCTCCATAAGAATAAGATGGGAATTTTAAATTTACAATTTTTTTGGTTTTTTCCTGTAGCCAAAAACTATAGAAATTTGAATGAATAGTGTTTTTGACCTCTGGGGACATCAAAACAAAAATAATAAATTGGTCCATAGTCCAGGTCTCACCATGAAACCTACGGCTACAGCTTATTCCCTATGTAATACTCTAAAACTGATATTGGCATACAGTTTTTAAATCCCAAACTGGAATGTTACCTTATGTCCTGTCCTACATTGGGGGGTGTCAATATTTCAATCTGCAACTCCTCGGTGCCTCCCTCGGACTCCTGTAGTACCTTAGTATCCTCTACTTGTACCACACAGTCTGCGCCAGGAGGGACTGGTGCTCCGGTGTTGACTCTGGCGCACTGGCCGGCGCCAAGCACTCCTCCTGACAACGGCTGAAACATACGTTGTCAAATGGTCAACTTATTTCCTGTGATTTTGAACTTTCTTGGTCTTAAAGGGTGATTCATAGTTTTGGATGGACTTCATGAAACATCAACGTATGGAATAAGGTGTTATGCCAACCTCAAAAGGTTTACTTCAATAGTCGCTACATTCAGATTTACTAAAAAAAAATAATACAGCAATCAGTGATTACAAAATGATGGTTACTGACCTGTGAGCCAGCCAGCATTGCTGTTATCACATGTCTTGGCCCAGCCTTGTCGCTGGCGATGGCTGCGTAGCCGTCCTTGACTGATGCTCGGTATGGTGGCACGGAACACTGAGCCATCACAGGTCTTGCCACCACTCTCCCTGCAGCTTCTCTGGCAATTACAGTAACAACGCAAGTGAGAAAAGAACTGTTTTGTTAAAGGTTTTTCCACATCAGATGTAAAAATTTAAATACGTTTTAACTTAGTCACACTCTGTTGAAAAACATCCTTTAAATCCCATGATAACAAACAAATTGGTTATTAGAAATTGCATCATCCCCATTATTTCAGTTAATTGGGGTTTTAGTCCTACTGTATTTTTGGAAAGCTAACACAAATTTAATGTTCTAAGAGCTATATATGTTCCAGTATGTGAAGATGGAGTATGGAGAATCCGCCACAACCAAGAGTTAAAAGAATTATTCCCCGATATTGTAGGAAAGGCCAAAAGCAGAAGGCTAAGGTGGGTTGGCCATATCTTGAGGAGACCTTGTAGAAGAAGGTACTAAGGGGAGATCCGAGGAGAAGGAGACCAGTAGGAAGACCAAAGGCTAGGTGGTGGGATCAAGTCCGGAAGGATATGGAAAAGATGAGACTAGTAGAAAAGATTTGGAGGACCGAGAGAACTGGCGACAACAAGTTGGCGAGGCCAAGTACCAGCTTGGGTACAAGTGGCCATGGCAGTAAGCAGTAAGTATGCAGTAACAGTAAGTATGGTTGTCAAAAGGTAGGCCCATCGTAAAAAGATAGGATACTTCATCTACATTTCAACCTGGATCTCCAATACACTTTTTCCAACCAAAAACTAAGAGAACCCATTTTAGGAATGTTTGATAATTTTGTTTAAATACAATTTTGAAAGTACCGATTAACCGTGTATGTGATGGTCATTGATATATGGATTGTTTGTGCAATGGGATGCTAGAAACATAGGATGTTCTGAGGGGTCAGATATCGGAAGGGAAGTGTCAGATTCTACTGCACTAGACTATCTTACTAAATTGACATCATCACAAAACATAGCTTATTTAAATCTTGGACCCAATTTAAACATTAGAATGTTGAAAAAATGGGTTTGTTATCGAGTTTACTCACTGGATGGGGACTTCCTCGATGCACTTTTGCGGGGACGCAGAACCAATGCTAAGTTTGGCAATGATCGCTCGCACCACTAGCAGCGATTCATCCACTCCGATCATGGGGAACGGAGACTCTCTGTCCCGGCGAGCCACTTTTGACACATCCACCTCAAAATATAGTTTCAACTTAGTCAGAATTCTTTTTGTGCGTGTATTTGTACCAGTGGCAAATTATTATGTTAGTTGTTGTCGTTTCTTTTTGGTTTTTTTCATAGAGAACCCCTGGTCTTAAAAGTATTTATTTAAATTTATAAGTACAATGGCAAATAAACGGCATGTTCCACAACTGACTCTGCTTGGGATCAAACCAGTAATCTTGATATTTGAAGGCAAGCACTATACAATAGCCATTTGGCAACCCAAACAATTCATAAGCCTGATTTCAAAATTATTTAACGAAGTCTCAGTGGAAGGACAAAAGTCATCGACAATGGATTATATATTTAAGCTAAATTATACTGCCACAACCCTCCAGGACCATTACCTGGAGTAATGTGTAAAACAGTTCTAGAGGTTACATCCTAGGATGTGAAGGCAGGACATCAAATAAACCAAAACTGTCATTCAAGCCAATCTGAAGAGACAACATACAACATCTTTCAGGTTTCAATAACTATCGTAATATTTAGGTACTAAATAGAAACTTTATACTTGCTCGCTTTTTCAGATAGACTGACTGAACTTCACCCCCACTTAATTATGACAGGGAGTTTGTTAGGATGGTCAAGGAGACAAAACTCCAGCAGTGGCGGCGATAAGAACCCGCGTGCCCCCCCGCAAGTTTGTTCGCCGGGCCCCCCTCTCCCAATGATCTTTAAAAACATTTTCCCATGTATTACCGCCTAAACTTGCAATTTTGCAATAAACTTGACAAGGCATCTCCCGAGGCGTCATTATCGTCTTCCATGATCGCGGCAAAATCGTTAATACTTCCCGTAGTCATAAGTCAAGGAAGAAACATTATCATAGTTTACTGTGATTGCAAATGCAACCAAACCTATGACATCACTAGATAACAGCATCATCGTCTCCCGCGTTCACGGCCCAATCTAAATCACGGCCTAATATCTCCCCGCGACCCGTCGGTGGTGACGGGTAAATAATTTTTCCGTAATCGTGGCTAAATCCTAGATAAGTTATATCTCTCGCTAAAAAAGAAACGTCATTATCGTCTTACGCAATCGAGGCAAAATATTAAACATCTGCGGCCGCGGAGACATCGTCATCGTCACCCGCGGGGAAATGTTCTCGTCGATATCCGCGATCGCGGCAAAAGCGTTGGCCTAATCTTTAAATTTCATGAGCGTGATCCTCACGGATAGCTTTTACTTTTAATTGTGCATTGAATACTGAGAAAATCGGCTCGAGCTTGATTTTCTGACTTTGTGCTTGTGATGAGCTTGTAGTCCAGGCTCTGCTCGGCTCGAAAATCGACATTATAGGCCTATTATAAAAATCAACCGTTTCCAAAGCCCGATTTTGAACTGATCTGATTTGGCCTGAGGCCCTTAGGTAAGTAACATTTTTTACCTGACTCTGTAAACACATCTAAAGTGCAAAGTAAACAAATCTAAAGGGCAGCCTCCTAATAGTAAGACATGAAATGAAATGAAAATCATTCTTTAGCATCAATGAAAGAATGGAATTATTTATTAGCTAGTGCCCTAGCCACCTAGGTTAATTTGCCGATTTGGTCGTAACAAAATTTTAAAGTTTATTTAGTCGAATCAGCATAGAGGCTCTATGGTGTCACCCGCTGGGGACTAGGAGGATTAACATTAATTAATGTTTTATCTTCCTAGGCCAGAGGCCACATTGGTTATAAATATGACCCTATTATTATGCAACCAATTTTGACTGCGCCTTCACACAATCCACGAGGACAGTTAATGCAACCCGCATGACTGGGTAGATAATTTATATTGATCGGTCAAGTAATAATTGAACTATAGGTTTGAACAAATTTTCATCATAAAAAACGTATTTAGTTCTCATATAAATATTGTTATGATAGAGAACCCGTGTGGCTGAGCCTGTCACACTATCGTGGGCCCGTGTGCAGGTAAAATTTACCGAAAATCCCGGTCAAGGCTCACGGGCCCTCCTAGCTCACGGGCCCCCCCGCCCGCTATCGCCGCCACTGAACTCCAGGTTTGTTAGGTTTGGTAAGTATTAACAATGATTACAAACCCTTTAAGAAGGGCAATGCCTTTGTAAAAAATTTGGTCTCGTAATATTTGAATTTTCAATTGTTCCTGCGGCGGCCGCTAGGTAGACTATTGCGAGCACGAGGCCAAGTCAGCTGACTGAGTGAGACAAAGAATCTGATTAGAAAGAGAGAGATATAGAGTAGCGCGGCCGCCGCGAAGCTCATTTCGGCGGCAAATTTCCAGTCTGACTATTCTCCATTAAGCATTGTGCTTCTTAAAGGGTTTTATTCATTGATACGGTATTAATAAGGTAAAATTTTTCCAGAGATGTTGAAAAGTTTGCAGTCAAAATAATTTGTATGATTCAAGATTCCCTTCAGTATCATTATTAAATTTCAGTTCCTACAGTTCGAACAGATACGATTTCTAACTCAATGTCCAATATCAATGCCACGAATAAACATTTAAGTACCGTATCAAAAGTTTTTGCTCACCTTGCTCTTGGCAGTATTGTGAAGACTGTTGTGAGTAGAAGCCACTGCTGTGATATTATCTCTCAACAGCGCCACTGCATGTGGAAGACAGTCCATGATGAACCCAAGACACTCTCCCACCGCCTTCTTGCTCCCAGGGAAGTTTACGATTAAACTACGTTTCCTCACTCCACATACTGCTCTGGAATTCGATTATGATCTGTATTAAAACAACAATACTTATATTTCTTGTTCCTTTGATTATATATCTTAAACTTATTCGTAGCGTTTCATATTCTAATTCAGGTAAATTGTTTTTTGCAGAAAATCATTGGCTTTAGGTTGTAGACTTGTTGTTACCGGTACTCTTATGTATATTGTAAAAACTAGCTGAACTTTATTCATGGTATAGTTAAATACTGACCGAGAAAGCATAGCCATTTCAGTCTTTGCTAGGCTCTTGTAAAGGATGGCTGCTGGGATTGCTGGGGCCTCCTTATCAATGATGTTTCTGGTGGCTTCTGGCGTAACATCCCGCGGGGCGAACCCTGTCCCTCCAGTGGTGAATATCACATCGAGCTTCCGCACATCTGCCCATTCCCTCAATGTTCCCTATAATAACAGTTAACACAACATGAATTAACAAGGACTGTTTCCTTCAAAAAGATTGTGTGTTTTCTATTTCAAAAGTTTCCGAAGATTCTGAGTGACAAAGTCCAAGGCAGTTTTACATACTCCATGCATGCGCTGAGAAATGTATTTGACGTCCATTCAAATTAATCTCAAGACACACATCAAGCAAAAATACTTCGAGATGTTTCTTTAAATGGAAGCTCGCTTTTTTACAGTTTTATCACAATTGATTTCCAACCGTGTAGCCTTTACCATAAAATACTTACAGTCAATGTTATTTGGAAAATACTTACTGAAGTTGTTTGGTCAGCATACTGTAGCCTACTGTAGCCTACTTGATTTGACCAGCCTCTAAGTTATAAGACAAAGGTTAATATGCAACACCATTGGCAGTCGCTGGAATTTTCCTCAATGGAGTCGTTTTAGCAGTATCTTGTTCCACGTAACTTATTGGAGGAAAAGGCCCTCCCTCCAAAAATTAGTTCTCGTAGCACAAAGTTAGTTAAGGAACATAATTGCAACCAGAAGAGACAAGTGAAGTAGGTACAGTAGGCTAAATCTAAAATTCAAGGAAAAACTCACCTCTATCTCAACTTTCTCGTCTGGAACACATTTTGTCACAAAAACCGGGTTCTCAAACTTCCCAGATTTTTCAATTAGCTCTTGTAAAAATGGTCCGCTTTCATCTTGAGTTTCTCCACGAAAACATCTGTCACTAACTGTAATAAAAACAATACAAACTATTCAAAACAATTCTTTTTGAGTACTTGCCCAATGAGAAAAAATTTACCAGTGTTATTAACATACGATTTATCGGTCAGAAGTCTGTGTCCAGCGACATCCTAGCCGTCTCAGTTCCTGCTCACCACTACCGAAGCCTCGACTCCTACAGATTGAAGACTTCTAGACTACAGCGGATTGAACTAGTTCAAAACTAGTTCGTTGCAGATCTGCTGTGACGCAAGCATCACACAATAAAACTTAAGGGTTCTAATATTACAAAGTCATCCAAAGACTAAGTCCTGTTGCATGTTTGGCTTGACCCTTAGTCGTCTTGAATTGTTAAATTTGCGTTCTAATCCAACTACCTAAGGCCTACCCTATTTATTTATAATACAGCTATTATCTTATCAAGATACTGGAGGGGAAGGAACAATTTAAATAAATGAACACACGGGTGATAAGAACTCATCTGAAGACTTCATCCTAGAATACTTTGACCACCAATCTAGACTCTTCAGCCCGGTCACGATGTCACTAGGCCTACTAACGTGTTTTTTGGAAAAGAATGTTCGGTCCAAGTCTTGATAGAACTCTAATGACGACTTTTAGATTAATTGATTAAGTTACTTTGCATCTTGCAGGCCTGATGACTGTTTAAATTAAGAACTGAAACTAGATTACCACTAGGCCTACAGCAATCAAGAGTAGGTACCCTACCATATAATGCAGGTAACTTACCTTAAACCATTTAAAAAGAAAATATGTTTAAGTTAAGTTGGACCCTATTTTGGCTCTAACTTAAATATTTCACACCATGACGTAAAATAACTTAATACTTTTAATACTTTCTTATGGCAACCATCCAAAGTAGGTATTTTAAGCCAAGTATGAATGGAGATGAGTGTAGGATGAGTGGCGCTATCTGTCTAAGGAATGGCTGACATTCCTTAGACACAGCTGTTATTTAATAGCCTACAGCTAATGGCAACTAAGGGACCTACAGTTTATTGTGGAATCCAAACCACATTTTTGCCATGGTAGGCCTATATACGAATTGGTCTAATTAGGCCCATCAGGATAGTACTGCGGATAGTCGTAGTAATCACTCGTGCGGACGTTAATCCACACCGCATGCCTATAAATAGGTATCCACAATTTGTGACCTCCTAGTAGCTGGATTACAGGACGACGCCACCCGTCCCAGTCTTAGACATGTTGACCCAAAAACAGGGAAGAAAGTTACCAAGGTATGCCTTTACCTCGCCCTTTCACTGTGAACTGAAAATATGGCGAACTTAAAATTCAACATCTGAAACATCTTAAGTTAGCCCTATCTTCATTTTGGGTACAGTTTCTTAACTGGGCTATGCCAATATCGATTGAAACTATTGATTCGATTAGTAAGCCTTTGTGCGATTTTTTCACCATCAGCAAGTTTGGTTGGTTAGGTTATGATAGTTTAATTTGATTATAAATATATTTAAAAATATTGATTATTAATCAATATTTTCAATTCGATAGTTTCAATCGATATTAGCATAGCCCAGTTAAGAAACTGTAACTTACCTGTGAAGTTTGGCCTAGCAAATAGCAACTCATTTCAGTATTTGAACGGAATGGGCACACGGAAGGGACTAAGGCTAAAGGTGTAGTGACGTCATATCTCTAGTGGGTAATGTCTTCTCTTGAGGCGACACGATTACCGTTACGAAACGATGTGATTTCAGCGGCGTTCGTGGCATAGTTGGTAGCGTTCCGGATTGGTGTGCAGGAGGTCCCGGGTTCGAATCCCGCTGGTCCCACTGACTTTTTGTCAACAAATTTTTCATATCAGCAAGTTTGGTTGGTTAGGTTAGGTTATGACAGTTTAATTTTATAATACTACATTTTAAAATTAATTTTATAATTAATTAAAAATTATAAGTAATTATTAATTAGATTTTTATCTTATATAGTTTTTATATTATCAGCAAGTCTGGTTGGTTAGGTTATGTTATGACAGTTTAATTTTAAAAATTAAAAATTTATTTTATAATTTTAAAACAATATTTTATAATTAAAAAGTTAATTTAATAACTAAAAAAAAAAATAATTTAAATTATTTCAACTTAGCAGTTCTAGCGGCGAACGCTGACACTACAAGATATGTTAGCCTTAGTCCCTCCCGTGTGCCCCACCGGTATTTGAACTAGGCTTAGACAATATACATAAACTTACCTGTTAAGATACCAAATGTCAGTTCAGTATCCATATGGTTGAAATATAGTCCTATTTTTGATCGTGTAATTCTTCAAGTGTTAAAATAGGCTAATTGACTGTCTGAAGTTGATGCTAAATAAGAAAATAATAAAATAGGTCAGGTTAGACTATAAAATACCGTTCCACAAGTAAACCAATCGTCACTAGGCCTACTACTTTCTTGTTAATAAATTAAACCAAATAAGACTTTAAAATGATATTTTAAACCGTACAAATATGATACAACAAATTTAATCTATGTAGTGCTGTGTATAACTTAAAAAATACTAATGTTTATGTTATGTAAAGTAAAAGTATAACCTCCAAAAACTAAGATGAATCGAATATTCTCAAGTCTGGTTGGTTGATTGTAAACAAAAAATAACACCAGACTACCAGAGAGTAAAAAGAGTAGACTACACTAACGTCTAGTGTGTTAGTAGTTGGGTTGCTAGGTTGTCTCATATTTCATAATACAGTATTTACTACAGTATTGGTTGCATTAATGTAAGAACATATGCAAGACATCGATAAATCGCTGTGGTATAACATGCTTCATGCGTTGACTATTAATTGTCAAAAATACTCAATACTAGTCAATATCCATCATTACTAGTCAATATATTATACTTGTCAGTAGTAGTCAATATAAAATCATTTATTACTATATGTTACAGTCTCATCATAGTTTACTACTCTATGAAAGAAATCAGGTTGTTATTTATTCCACATTTTCCTGTTCCTGTCCTTGTTCAATCGTTTCATTTTGTTTACCATCCATATCTTCAAGGAAATATCACCCTTTCCTACGGTTTGATTATAAAAATTGAGGAAAATAGACCATAGTCTGGTAATACTTTAGCATAAAATCCATAGCATATTTAACTTAGGCCTACATACAAAAATAATACTCAGAAGGAAATTCCAAATATAAGGTAAGTTTTTTTTTTTTTTATTGTTAATTGTTTATTTCATTATCTTACCTAACAGATCTTTTTAATCTAAGTTACAGCAAACAAGACAAATTATGGTGGAAATCCGTTGTCTGCCCTCAACTTTATTTTTTTCGAAGTAGCCTAGGTACCGGTACACTTCTATAACTTAGCCTATTGAAGCCTAGCTTATGTAGGTAATAAATAATTAAAAATACAACATTTAGAAAAGGTTATTGATCAATTGGAAACATTGATTATGATTAGGCCTAAGTTAAATACTAAACCTTTCTTTGATTTTTTCATAATCAACAAATTGGGTTAGGTTTAGGTTAGACCAGTTTGATTTTGTTAATATCCATAGACTAACACTTTACTAACTTAATTGATGTGTTTTATCCAAATTTAGGCCTACAGTAGAACCCCTCATATCTGGCCTTGGTTTTACCGGTCCTCTGTTTATCCGGCCCCTTCCAGGAAGCCAATATCAAAATTTTTTTCTCACACCTTACAGACGTTTAGATACAAGCACTAGTCTTTGTGACTGCTCAAGTCATAAAATAAATTGTTCTCATTATTTATCTGTTTGTTTATACATTTATTTGCTGAGTCACTATACTCAGTTGAGCTAGTAGGCCTAACCTCTGATCAGTTGGCTGATTGTTTCCAAAGTGGGTTTAGTACAGTACAGTACAGTACGAGTACATTAATTTTGTATTTCACAAAATGGTTAAGAATGTTGAGTATAAATACAAGTACCATTTAAGTCCTAATGATCTTTAAGTACAATTCATTGTCATTTTTACCTCCATTTAATATGTTTTGTTACCTGGAATCATAATATTTGTACACTCATTACTTACAGTAATGACTTTAACCTACAAATATTTTTTTTTTCCTTTTTACAGACACGTTTATTTTTCTAAAAATGATCCCAGAACAGAATTAAATGATACTTTTGATTGCATATATTGATTACCTAACCTATTATTATTAGGTATGAATTGTCATTTTCATAGTAGGTTGGTTTATCCGGCCAAATCGTTATCCGGCCAGGGGCTTGGTCCCGTGGTGGCCGGATATGAGGGGTTCTACTGTATATAACTTAGCGTGTGGTTAAAACCCTTTTCTAAATAGGACTTTAAGTTAAGTTATTAAGTTTAACTACTAAAGGTTTCCATTTCCATAAGTTAACTTAGGCATGGAAGTGTAATTGAAAAAATATACCTGTAGGTGGATAACGGATTTTGATTGAAATTATTGATAGAGGCTCAGCTAACTTAGGTAGTCCATTTATCAAATTTAACTTAGTGAATAAATAAATCTAGGTTAAACTTACCGGTATGCACCCTTCACCAAAGCTCGTCAGTGAGGTTTGATTTAAATAAATTTCCTAAGTTAACTAAACTTAAGTTAGGACAGGAAATAAGCTATTAAGTTACCATGTCTCATGGTAAGAGGAAAGACCTGGACCCAGGGCCGATTTACCATTTTGATGTCCCCAGACCCAGAAGGCCACCGGAGGCCAAACACCATCCGTTAATATGTAATTTGGCTGCACTTTACTTGACGTCCTACACTCATTCGAATGAAAATATCGATCGATATATCGATTAATCGATTGCTTCATTCGATATATCGTTTGGTTAGTTAGGTAAGGTTAACCTAACCTAACTAACCAAACGATATATCGAATAAAAGAATCGAATGAAAATATCGAATTGAAAAAACCAATCGAATGAGTGTAGGACGTCAAGTAAAGTGCAGCCTGTAATTTATATATAAACACAATATAAGTTAGCCCTATTCCATCGTATTAGTCTTTGTTTGTTACAGTCAATCGGAAGGTTTGAGTTTAGTTAGATTAAGTTGTTTAATTTTATAAATTGCATCGATAACTTCATCGTCCCGATGGAGTCGGATATCAAAGTTTTGCCATAACCTATGTGCACATATTATATATGAGCTGTGGCCATATAGCCTACATAACTTATACATATACAGGGTGAATAACTTACCTGTGCCACCATTGGTAGGCCTATCTAATGGTCCCAGTAGGCTACACTTTCGCCGAGACAAGGCGCAGGTGCAAGTCCGAGGGGGAGAGTCTGCTCGGTGCGCTCGGCTTCTCTCGCCCTGACTCGCAAAGTCTTGGGATTGCCTGAGAGTTGGTTTTTTGACACAAGTCAAAGGATCTGAGACTGCACAAGTGCTTAACACATTCCATTTCAAATGTGAGACAAAGCGAGAGTGTACATGGTTACCTCTTGCCCAAATTAATTGGCGAGCACTTAGGCGAGAGTGTACCGGTAGCATAAGAAACTATAAGATTTAGAGGAAACATTAAATGGAGAACTTCATTTTCTTCTGAAACGAAAACTTATGGATCTGGTTTTTTTCAAATATTGCCCTCTTTTTCCAATATGGCGGCTAATTTTGTATTTTCATATGAAACACCCTGTAACTTATTTACTGATGGTTTTTAGAATGTAAATGCAATTTTTAAGTGTTTTTATCCTGCACACTTTTCCTCTAAGGGTAGGGCCTACTCGTTTATGAGCTACCCGTGTTCCAACTGGAAAATACCCCCGCCTCAGCATACCTGCACTGCAGACTAAGCGAATTTCCATTTGCCTGATTGGATTTAAACACTAAAATGCCTCCTTAAATATAGCCTAGCCTATCACATTTATTCCCTATTTAAATAGAATTAGTTTAACGAGTACTTAGGTTTGCTGCAACAGGGAGGGTAAAAAAGTGTTTTTGTTGTAAAATGTTTACAGTTTAGTAAGAAATTCATGTATTTTCCAAATTCGATCAAAATATATTCATAAACAAGCAAACTATAACAGTTGAGTTATTTTCCTTAAAAATAACATGGGAATTTTAAATTAAAATTTTTTGGAATTTTCTCCGTATCCATTAGGCGCACAATAATGCTTCAATATACTAAATTATTTGTTTTTTAAGCTGTACAAAATGGTTTGGAAAGAAATTGTGAAATTTTGTCTTTTTAGGGTCAAAAATGGGAAAAACCTTTTTTACCCCATAAAACCCCCCATAAACCCCTGTTCCCATAGTCCGATCATGCTGGTTCGCGAACTCATTTGAATAAATGTAGGTTTACACGTTTATACCAAATTTCATCAAAATCGGATCATTTTTGCTCGAGGTATTGTGCTAACGGACACATATATATATAAATTTTTTACCTTTTTTACTTACCTGTTTCCGTCTATGATCCTAAAATTTGTAGTATTATAGACGGAAACAGGTAATCTTATACCATTTTAATTTTCAAGAAGTGATCCTGGACCAAATAACATCATTATGAATTATTATGTTCTCTAGATCTGCTGTATGTAGATAGACTTTTATTAATTTACTATTAGTATTAACTGGCTACATAAACATAACTGTAAATAAACCACCCATTCCATGTATCACAGCTTTTTAACTGCTTGGTACAAATTAGCTGTTGTCATTAAAAAAAATAGTGCTGCACCCTGTTGATATACCTATTAACTTTTAAATGCTATTTAACATCACAGAATCAAATTGTTTAGTTGAAACAGCTGTTAAGATTCTTTAATTCCAATTAAATATAAGTACTCATAAGGTTAACATGGGGAAACTCCAGAGCCACTGGGGCGGAGCCGATTGGACGGATCACGAAATTGATGGTGTATAAACCTATTCCATGAAATTCTACACGTATTTACCAAGTTTCGTGGCAAACGGTCCAATGGTGTCCGAGATCATAACGTTCAAACATACAAACTTCCTCTTTTATAAATATAGATATATATGAATTTGAACGGATGGTGTTTTTGGCCTCTAGGGACCTCAAAACTAAAAAGTAAATCAGTCCCGGGTCCAGGTCTTACCATGAGTACTACGGTAATAGCTTATTCCCTATATGGGAAATTCGCTAAAAGGTGATGGCTTGATTTGTACGTTCTGCATTCTAGCTCCTTTGGAGGAAATGCTAAGGGTAAAGTAAGTTTTAAAATTGCATCTATATTCTAAAAGATAAATCAGAAAATACAGGGTGCTTCATAAGACATTTCTCAATTAGCCGCCATTTTAGCCGACCATTTTAAAACAAATTAAATTCATATTTTTACTGTATTTTATGATCTCATGTCAGTGGTATTTTTAAAGAATTTATAGTTGAAACTCCTCAAATTAGTTTGGGTGTAATGGGAATCAATCCTGTCTCTTTTGCACTGAATAGTCTGAGAAGCTAACTACTGGCTAGGTAATTCAACACTACTTAAAATCTTAGTTACACCTTCTATAGTATGTTATAGACTTTACAACTAATATAGTAGAGTGAAAATTTAAAAACGTACGTTTTCATGTCCCTGGCCTTTTACTTCGTAGATACTGGATTTGTAGTTTATTATTATGTGTTTTAATATTTTTTGGGACGGGGGCAACATGTTACACACATTTATTTGGTTTTAAATAGGTTCTAGGTATTTTTTTTGTATTTTTAAAGTCTCGAAATTCACGACCGTGACGTGTCCCTAGGGTACATTTTCCAACTTTCACGCTGTTTTTAGACTAATTACTCATGCCGAAATATATAAAGCCATATTTTTATGCCATCAATGGTTATTAAACTTACAAAAAAGGAGCATATTATAATTTTATTGTCATTGCAAACTGACTACCATGACAAAATAAGTCTGTCCCTCGATTTGGCGTCACGACCATAAGGGAAAAATTTTCAACTTTGGAGCACGACAGTGGCAAGCCTGGCGTCGATGGAGTCAGTTTGTTTTAGAGACTAGTTCGCGGTGTACGTGAGGATCGTAGTGCCGGTCGTTTCGAGTTGAAAGGAGGAATTACAAGATTAATAAAGGAAAGATTGTGTTTTTTGTAATTTTGGTGTGTCCGTGACCGTACGTAGTCATTCGATGAAGTAGACATGGTGTTAATTTTTGTTTATAAGATATTTCAATTGCTAGATTAACCTAGAAGTTCACTTTGTATCCTCGAACATGAGGTGCAGGGCTACCGCCAGAACAGAGCCAAATAACACGTAATTTCACGACCAAAGTTTCACGACCATCGCGGGTTTTTTCACGACCAATCCAGCCTTATGGATTATAGTGTGTTTGGTCGTGACAATAACTTTAATATAATTGTAATTTGAACAGTTTAGTTCAATTGAAACACTTATTTTTATTATAACTAACAGTGTAATTAAAGAATTGTTTAGAAAGATTTAGATTATTTCAGAAAATTCACGACCGTACCGCTTGTCCCTGACCATCACGTTTATGATTTCTATCATAAAAATTTCAAAAATTAAAATATCGTCATATTTTAATGATTTATACACAAAAGAAGCACACCTCTATACAAACATAACGATTTTTTGGGTCTCAGGTAAGTTTTTTCGGAGTTATACAAACTTAAAAAGATTTTATTGGCTTTTTTTCAATTTTTTGAATTTTTTTTATTTTTTTCTAGAAAGACCAATTATACCAAAAGCTCAGCGACCTTTTTATTGTATAATGGTCATAAAAGTAAATTAGTTTATAGCAAAACATTGTTATAAAAATAATATTAACTATTTTTAATATTCATTTAAACGTCTGTTATGGTCGTGACAGGATTTTGTGTTTTTCCACTAAAGATGCTCATTAAAAAAAAAAATACCAAAGATATTGCGTTACCATGGGCATTTTATGAAACTTCAAATGTTAATGAAATAAAAATAATAATAAAAGTTTTGAAAAAAGGGGAAAAAAATTTGCAAAGTGCTTTTCCTGAAAACGTACGTTTTTAAATTTTCACTCAGTAGTCTTATCAAGGGCGGTCCTAGACAAATATTTTGGGGGGGGGGCCTGGGGGGTATGGAATACCCCCCAGCAAAGGAGGGGGGTCCGGGAAAAATTTGGAAATAACGTGCTAAAACGAGTGGTTTTGAAGCTATTTTGAGGGCCTAGTTTAATGTGTTCAAGCTTCCCAGTTTATTTAAAGGTCAAAGAAATGTCTAAAAATAAACTTGTATAATGTCATGTTTTTGCATTATTGAGACTTGGGGTTTAATATCAAAGGAATACCACAACATTACAACACATTCAAGCATTATTGATTTATGAAAACTCCCTTTCAACTCATGGTGGATGTATTTTCCTTCCACCATGCTTTCAACTGGTGCCAATGTGCATGCTAAATGGAAAATGTCCAAAATCGGACCAAGATGTCAAACCAGAGAACTTATTTTATCCAAGAAGTGTTTAAGAACTTGGACCCAAAACTTCTGCATTATAACTGAACTGCCCTAAAAGCGACAGTTAACCTACACAAAGTACACTACCCAACTAACGTTGCCGTCGGCGTCCCGTCACTGGTACCGCCTGGAGAATTGGTTCTCAGTGTTCTCATTTTTTCTACGCCAGTGCCAGTGGCATTTTACAAGGGGTCAACGTGAGAATAAAGTTTTTGTGCAACGATTTTGTGGTTGTGCTGGGAATTAATTCTGTCCCTTCCACATCTAAGTCTGAGACACTACCATTTTGTTGTTGTTTTATGGCTAGCAACATGCCAATTGGGTTGTGGTATTTTTAAATATGATATCAGGTGCTCTAAATATGTATACTATTTAATATTAAAAGTTTTGAAATTTGCTACGGTAATCATTGAATTACATTACTGTAATTATTACAAATTCCTAACGCTCAATTCAGATAAATTAATATTCAACTACCTTTCAAGCTTTGACTATTGATACAACTTCTTTTCTTTATCCAATACCCAAACCCAATTCAAGTTTTCAATCATCTAGGTTAAAATGGATGATAACATTAAATGCCGAAAAATTAAATAAGAAGAAGAATGCGGCCGAACGTCGAATGTCAGCATCGGGCACTGCCGTTGCTGTATATGGCTGAAAGCGTCCGTCGTCTGCCGATCTTCCCTACTTTTCATAACGCACAAAAAACAGCCAGACTCGAACGATGAGTTTTAGGTTAGAGTTTGTAATTAGTCCTTTCATTCGCCACAAGTTTAAAGACTACAATGAATTTCAATTTGGCAGAACGATTTGCAATAAAAATTATTAAAGTTCCCCTGGTATAATAGTTTATATATATAAAAAATATTTTGGGGGGGGTCATGACCCCCCTGACCCCCCCTGGGACCGCCCTTGAGTCTTATACTATATTGTCCTAATAGGCTGTGTATACACTATCTCTTACACTATTTGGTGCAATGATTTTTGAACCTGTGTTATAATAACCATCCACTATGTTTGTTTCCCAGAATGGCTAAACAGAGGAAACTGTTAAATCAATCATGCCATGACACATTTTTTGATGAAATGGAACAAGAAATGAACAAAATTTCTGCAAAAAGTAAGTTTTTTTACTACTTTACCTACATCAAGTACGCTAGTATACCTACTGTGACTATTTTATGCTTTCCAGCTGGTTTATTTGTTGGATTAAACCTTTGTTGTTCTAGCCTGTTGCTCTTGGTTCTTGAGTAGGTAAGATGTTTGTGTCACCCTTAACATTGATGACACAAACATCTTAGCTACTCAAAAACTACCTGGCTAGAACAACAAAGGTTTTATTAGATTACAGTAGATGTAGAACCTCTATTAATCATCACCTTCAGGGCTGAGAGATAACAATACAGTAGAAGGATAACAGAAATCCTGTCATAAACCTGTAGGTACAATCAGTTGATTTAAAAGCTTTTGGAAGAAATTAAACCCTACAGGTAGGCTACCATATTTATATTTAAATTACATACAAGAGTAATACAGAACAGAGCTTTTATCCTGGCTATATTTGACTGCTGCCTTAGTTGGCCCCTGGAGGATGTGAAGTGACACAACCTAGTCGTAGATTGACCTGTCACACATGACGACTATATCTAGGTCTGGGTCAAAATTTGAACTAAAACCAACCAATTCTATCGTATCAACTTTTATCTTTCTTGTTACGAATCAATGGCTTAATGGCTTAGTGAGGCTGTTCCAATCCTACTTTGCTTTTTCCAAAATTTCTACGTACTTGTGGGCAACCAGAAGTGTATAGTCTGGAGTCTATGATAAGCTCCCTCTTCAATGTAGTAAAATTTACGACTCTACCAGTACATTAACCATGACTAAGCCTCCCCCCCCCCCAAAAAAAAGAACGTGCAACAGTAACGTGTGTTTTGGGCATTACAATAATTTAGAACTCAAAATAGTTCACTTAGTTATGATTACAGAATACAAAAATTGTCTTTATTTCAGGGAAGAAAATCGATAAGGAGCCTCCATTGCCGCCAGAAAAATTATTTCTGCAGTTTGATCCTAGTAAGAGATTAGAAGTTTGTAAGAAGAACACTAACTCACAGCCATTGACGATGCAGAAGAGTCAGTGGAAGCCTCCAATCAAGATGTCTAGCCAACCTGAGAACTATCAACTGAGCACAGAAATGATGACAGATGATAAGAAAACCATTAATATAGGAAGTACTGCCTTAAAGCTTAATGGTGAAGCAGTTAGATTGTCTTCCTCTAATGATAAAAACTGTTCAGTCATCAACCAACAAGTGGATAGAGAATTTACTGAAGACGATTCTGATATGGATGAAGTAATCAAACTAACTTCTTCTCAAGAATCTCTTACACCAGATGTGCATGTTTCAATTGCCAATAGCGGTGATAAAAATGAAGACAAACGTGAAAATTTTGATGAAGAAGTTGATAAAGTTGCTCCTTTAGATGCAGACACAAAAACTAAAAGTATAGAACTAGAGGAAGATCCTAATGAGGAATTTAATAACGTTGAAAAAGGTTGTTCGCTGAAGTTACCTTCAGCTGCAGATGACATCCTAGAGAGACAAGATTATTTCAATATGATGAGCAGATATTTAAACAGTTATCCACACAAGGATACCCATATAGAAAGTACCGTTAACATCGAGAATTTTAGATATAAAAATAGCTTTCAAGAGTCAAGTACTACATTGAACTCAACATTGTCCAAGTATAAAGAAGACGAGAGTTTAAGGGATGCAATGTGTGTTGAAAATGAGCAGCAGACAAAAAAGTATTCATCTCAAAGTAATAACGAGAAAATAATAGCAGTCAAATTAAACGATGTTCAAAGTGGTGTTGTGAAGAAAAATGGAAATGTTGGTATGTTAGGTGATGTCAATGAAATTGGTAAAGAAGATGGACACAATAATGAAATAGATGAAGAAAATGGACACAATAATGAAATAGATGACAAACGTGGACAAAATGAAATAGATGAAGAGTATGGATACAATGAAATAGATGAGGAATACGAGCACAATAATAAAATAGATGAAGAAGACAAACACACTGGAGAAGAAGGATTTGAACAGAATAATGAAATAGATGAACAAGAAGAACTCAATAATGAAATAGATGAACAAGAAAAACTTGATAATGAAATAGATGAAGATGATAAACATAATGAATGGATGGGTTCTCAATTAAAACTAATCAATGATAATTGTAATCTTATCCTTAGTCAACAGAAAAGACTAATGCAATCTGCCAATGAACAATGTGGGAAGTTTAATATTACAGACACCGAAATTCTGAGTCGAAATGAGGAGTTGACTAAACAGTCAGCTAACACAATTTGTGATAAAAATTTTACAAAAATTGGTTCAAAATTTGGAGATTTATGTGGGCCAGATGGTGACAAGAATAGTGCTCAACTTGAAGAGAGCGCATCAAACAAAGAAGTAGAAAATGTAAACAATTCCTTTATTATGTCAAATGAAGAGGGCTACCCTGATAAACCAAGTGAAGTTTCTACCCCATCAGATCAAAATATAAGTGTATCTATTGAAAATTGTAAGAGCGTTTCCACTCATAACTTCAAAAATATAAACATTTGTGACGATAGCAGAGTAGAAAATCATAAAAATATTGTCAAGAATTTCAACCAAGAAAAGGGAGGGTTGGTAAACAACATTTTTGAAAATTGTGCACATCAATCCAAAGACTGTAGTTCACAGAACATTGGCCCATTAGAAAGAACATCCCGTTTAGATTGCACTGAAGATGCAGAGGGAAGCGAATCGTCTGAAGATAATGTTAATCAACCTTCGACAGAAGAGAATGCATTTCAAGAGGAAGTAAAGGAGGATAATATAATGGATGAAGAATATTCTTGTTTGATGATTAGCAACTCACAATTAGAAGAAATTGAAAAGAATTACTATGAGTCTTCGAAAGTCACAATGAATGAAGAACCGGTATTGCAAGTTGTTAATACGAATCATACACAGTTTAACAAGCCAATACCAAATGCAAACAAGATGATTGAACTAAAAAATGCAACTGAAGTACATGGTAAAACCTTGAGTGGAATCAGTACTCAAAACAAATCTGGTCCAAACAATTTATCAAGTATTCCAGTAAATTTGCCAAGAGTCAAATGGCCTGGAAAAATGTTGGAGATGCAAAAGAATATTCGAGAAATCACTAGGGAAATAGACCGGCTTAAGTAAGTAAACAAACTCAGTATAATTTTTATTGTTTATTGTATATTTTATTGTTAGTCTTAATGTGGATTAGAAGACCCTCTGGGGCTCTCTGATTGAATTTACAAAAGATACATTCACATATTGATTTTAGAGTCTCATTATGTAGGTAGGTACTTTGTACATAAATTTCAAATAGGTACTTCAAATATTATAATGATATATTTTCTTATATTTTTAAAGATATGTTTTTGTTACAGTGGGCTGCTGATGAATTTCAGGCGGGAAATATGGCCTCAGAGACATCCAAAAAGTTCAGAGAACTGAGAACTAGAAAATAAAAAGAAACTGAGTGTTCAGTTGAGTTAAGTGTTGTATCAGTTAATTGTTATTTTTAAGATATTTTTATTTTAAAAAATACAGTGGTAGTTAAGGTAGTTTAGTTTGAATGTATTAAATTCTGTTTTGAATTTAAAGTTTGTTACATTCCTCAAGTGTTTGGAGATTGTAGCTTGCTTAGTTGTTGTCATAAAGTTTATCTTATAAGTTTATATATGCCTAAGTACTGCAAAATATGTAAAATATGGTTACAAATAAGTTAAGATAATTTCAAATTTATTTTGTCAAAATATTGTGCAATTTTTATTCAAGTCCTACCATTTAATAAAAAACCCGTGTTGTTAATTTTAACAAGCAATTCAAATGTTGACAGTTGATTAGGACTCTTACTCAAATTGCATACTTTATTAATCCTTTTGTGTCAAATACCTTAGAATGTAATGTAGGCTAACTAATTCATTGTGTATCTAATTCACAACACTAGTCAACACTGATAGTAACTTCATAGTAGGCCTAGGCCTACATACACATCAATCTTTATTGTTGATAATTTGTAATAATCCTGATAACTGGCAATGATAACAAATCAACAACACACCCACCAATGATCTGTTACACACACATATCTAATCATTAATCAAGTTTTTTTCCAATTACCATAATCTACATGAGAAATAACATAGAATACCTAGGTATATTGAACTAAACTTCCATCAATGTTTCACAGTCAAATAAACATATATCCAGCACCTGTGTCAATCATTTAACAGTTATTTACTTTTCAAAAACTTCCACTGTTAACATAGTTAGAAGTTAAAAGTTAGTCCTGTAAAAAGTAACTGATAGAAGTTATAAGTTAGTTGGTTTAAAAAGTAACTGATATAAGTTATTAGTTAGTTGAAAAACTAACTGATATAAAATAAAGTTAGTTTTAGTAGAAAATTAGTTGTTCGTTGGGCAGTTGTTTTAAAGTATTTTTTAATGTCACATCTTGGTTACTAATATATATTATAATATGAGTAAAGTTTGCGCAAGATATGATTTAAAAAATGGCTCCTACGATTTCCTCCAATTTCAATGCTATTGAAAATTGCTTGTATAATACATTTGCATTGTATGATGTCTTACTAACCAAAGGGATAATTACGACTGTTCAAAAACATTAAGCGTTTACTACAAAACAATATACACTGACATTGAACTAAAAATCTAAAGGAAAGGCCAAGGAGATTTGTATTTTTCGACGATGCACCGCACGAATTGATGCGTTATTACACCATCCCGTAATTATAGTTGCAACGTTCCACGATCCCAGTGACTTCATGCAATAACGGTTGTCAGATAACAGATGTTATGTATCATGAGTTTTATATTGATTGAAGCTTATTGTGGACATTTTATAGATTGATCATCCAAATTAAAGTTTTGTAGACTAAATTGAGGATAAGTGGATGTCTAACAAAAACGAATTGGCTTTACTACTTAATTAATCGTAGTAAGGCTGAAAATATTTGTAGGCTTATAAGCTCTATTTTTTACCTCTTGAACAAATCAAACACCTCGAGCAAGATCGGTCCCCTGGTACTTGTGTTTTAATCAAACATTGTCACATTTTACATTACTACAACATAAACAAATGGCATAAAACTTGTCAGATAATGAACATCAACTAAAGACATTGTTTTGACACTTGAGATGATATATCAATCAACAAACAAACATTTCCCCTTCCCACCCATCAGTGCTTGGGGTGTTGATAATGGCCGTCACTACCCTTCCACAGGCCCACTGCATTCCAAAACAACTGGACTTTGACTTTCTCTTTCCCCACCCCCCGGGTTGTTTGTCTATACAAGGGCACTGACCTCTCACGGCCACACGCAACCCTCACTGATCACGTGAAATAAATAACCAGTATTTGAGATGCTTCCGCATAATTGGGAAAGTTAGTTGAAAATTCTAACTAGTTAGAAGTTATTAGTTAGTCCCGTAAAAAGTAACTGATAGAAGTTATTAGTTAGTTAATTTAAAAACAAACTAATAAAATAGAAGTTAGCCAAAAAAACTAATGAATAGTGCTATTCGATAGAATTTCTATTCGTTATTCCCAAGTATGACTGTTAACAATATCTTCGCTGATACGCGTACCAACAATCGAGTACACTCAAATATCCCAATATCCCAATAATTTGAACAGCTGATTCAACAGAGTGCAACAATGGAAGCTGGGAATTTTCTCGCGTCTAGGTTGGCACCGCTGAAACTAACCTGTTGGATCGGTTATGTTATGGCCCCGGCCGCGCCGGCTAGCGCTACGCAAACGCCCAGAAGTTGACGTTCCTCTGTCGTCTGTCTTGCGCCGTGGTTTTGGCGGGTTCGTGTGTGTAAAGTGTTTGGATTTACCTCATCATGAACGGAGAACACCGCACTCCCCGGGAAATGTTCGACCCAAAGGTAAGATGATTGATGATTGTTGTATTTGTATTGTTGTGACCCAAGGGCAGCGGTTGACCGGCCACGTGCGCTACCGCTCTAATTTGGATACATTTGTGACTAAAAATACATTGTTAGATCATTGTCCTCTGAATAATACGATGGTAAGACCGTGTAATATATTATAAGCTTACTTCTGTCATAATTATTTCCAGTTGTATTATGTTACCTATCAAGGGAAACACCTCATTACACTAACTTGTACTAACTTATACTTTATCACATATGAGAAAACTCTCTTCTCTGTGGTTTTAAACGCACGCCATAAATAATCTGCACATTTTAACTTCTATGCAAAATTCATCTTTACAATGACAGGAAATATGACGTTTTGCATTACAGTAGATGTTATTTTGTCTTAACAATTAACACTAGCGTTTTCTGTAAGAATCTTTAAAAATACATGTTTTAATATTTTATCCCCGGTAAAACAAACAAAGGATAAGAGCTACATCATCAATAGTAAAGCATTACGACCTCTCTTATCTTGAGTCAATGGTAAACATATTGACACTCTATTTGAAACTGTCAAGTTTTGGGAAGAGATGTATTATAGTTTAATAAAGGTCGGTTGAAATTATTTGGAGATGAAAAATAACTGCAGATATCCGTAAACTTAAAGGGTTTGAAATGAGCTAATTACAAAATTCTAGATTTTTTGCTTCCTATTTTGACCTTCATGACCATTTCGTGGAGTTGTTTTTTTCAGCATCCTGGCCAAAATGGAACTTTCAACTTCTTTACATATTCAATGTACAAAATAAACACGGAGATAATTACAAATTGAATTAACATTATTAAACGATCATGTAAAAAAAACTGTATAACATCGTGGAGCTAGTCGATGACTCAATTAGTTTTGACTCGTGTGATTCACAGCTGATTTTGATTGAGTCAGGCACAATTGCCTTATTTCATAGTGAAGTTAAACTACATGGGTTTGTGATGTTGAAAGCTGTGAACGTGGTTTTAACTTTTCATCCCATTACTGTACTACTCTTGGTAATGAAGAATTAAATCATTAGCTGACTTGCTTAAGCTCATTGACTCAGCGTTACAGACAAACGTTTCATTTTGCTGAATTTATGTAAGATTGTGATGAAATTTTGTGTTAGCGTGTATATTAACTACGAAATGTCTTCTTTACTTCTTGAATATGTTTATGGCTGATTGAAGATTGGTCCATATGAATAAAAATAATTTATTTGTGAATTATCTTTAATTCACTTTGTTTGATGGTAAGGTGTTGACCTTGCTTGGTTTTATTTTCAGTTTTCTGAAATGAACCTATTTTAAAGTAGGCCTATTTGTTCTGCGTCAACAACAACAATAGTTATTATAACTTTATAGGTAACTATTATAAGCACCTTAGTACCTATTGCCTAATAACATACATACGTACATGCATTGTCTTCCATACATAGTTTTCAACCATGCAACCTTAGTAAAGGCTAGTTCCGTTATATTTGATATGGTCACAAGTTGTAGCAGGGCCGGGGATAGTGAGTTGTAGGATCTGTCCCCGTGGGGAAGTAAAATAATTCACTCTCAAAATCAAATTACATTAGATCACTTTATAAACAATCCACAATCCTTATCACGCACAGGGTACTGTGACCCATGTGATATTTTTATTTATATGTATTGCTGCAAACAAATTGTTAATACAGAATTTATCTCTCTCTCTCTCTCCCACTTTTCAATTATTGCCTAAGGTGACCTCGGAAGTCGACATGTAGGTTAAAATATCACTTGAGCAAATAATAAACCACTTGTTGATAACCTCGACCATAATGTATATGTCTGGGTATCGAATATTATCAAGAGAATTACTATTGGTTGATAGTTCATTGATGAGAACCTACGACTGTTTTGATCACATAAAAGCTAATAAAGCGCTTAAAATATAATTTAAATGGGAATTTCTTTAAAATTTCCGAGAGTCTTCTGGATTTCAAAGTTGTCATGTAGATGTTGTGATATTCTTATTGCACAAGGCGAATGCAGATGGATAGTTATTATTGCTTGTCTTATTTATATAGTAGATTATATAAAATAATGTTTGAACATACACTAAAAGAATAACTATCCTATAGAAAATCATAAAAAAATAATCAGATAAATATCCGCCCTTTTCTAGTAATAAGTAAGGGGATGTCTGATTAATTTGGGCTATTTACTTAGCTTTGATAGTTCTTTACGATTCACTGTATGTGTGTGCTCCTATCCTAGCATCGTCAGGTAAATCAAAGAACGAATTTTATTTATTTATTTGTCCTGTTACAAGTATTTAATGCAATAAATCAACTGAAATCAATCATATTATCATACTGTGTCACCTCCTATGGCACTTCAGTACAGTAGTAGCAGACGTGAAGTAGGTAGATAAATTATAATCACGCTATAAAGAGCTTTTGAGACGATGTAAAAAGCATAGACTTAGTCATCTGCATCTCACACTTATAATCAGAGGTTACAATGGATTTTTAAGAAACTGTCATCAACGTATCTCACCGTCCTTGGATAAAATAATGATAACTTGTCGATCACAGCCACAGCTGATCTATTGGAGTGTTTGACAGCAACGCAATGATTGTTTTGTGTTCTTATCAGAACTGATAACAGGTAAACATGGGCTGAAGATCTGTGTCTGTACCTAGTCACACCACCCGGCACCCGTCGAAGAGATAAGCCGGATTTTTTTTGTCGGCTGAATCTGGTTGGCGTTCCTCTCAAATGCTAGGCCCATTTGCCGAATAAACGATAAAAAAGATTG